TCTGTCTTAGTGTCATTATCACCTTCCTTGATGTGAATTGATAAAAAAAAAAACTATAAGAATGAAACACTGAAGCAGTAAAAACAACTGTGTAATTTTGTACACCAGATGATGTATTGAAAATTGAATAGAAGAATGAATTTGTGTGAGAACTATTTAATCCATACTATTTCTATTATAATTACATAAATGAATGTAATGAACTTGGCTGGAATTCTCCAATTCCACAACCCGAGCTACACCAGAACAATGGATTGAGGCTTGGATTGAGGAATCGGAGAGCCAAATTCGAGTTCCCCTCGAGTTTATTACATTCACTGACGTTCTAATACACTTAGGTGTCAACAGTTGTAACGGAGGGAAAACTGAATTCAAAAATGTATGTAGGCATGGCGAAGCATATTTTATGCAGCTAAGCAAATGATCGTTCGCATTAATTCGATGATCTCGAATGAGGCCGGCACCTTTGAATTTGCATTGCTTCCCGACAATCTCTAATTGCTTTTTTTACCTTTTTTTCTCAAGCGCAATTATCGTAGTCAACAATAAAAATGATTATGTAGCATCCCCACGCACTAAAACTCTGTTCTATCATACGTAGTCTTGAGTGATAAAAAGGTCTGATGCAGATGTTAATAACAACTCGCTGTGTTATCTCTGGTTATATAAAACTCAAATTGACACCAATATACGATACGAAATGCCAGTATGTTAGATATTTAACAAAATATTTCCTAATTCATTTTAAGATACTGCAATTTCTTGCGCTGTTTTTAATGTTTCATGCTGTATTTGTTTGATTATTAGCATTATTTATAGTAAAAGCTTTTAACCTCTTCATATCATTTCGTTACAGACTTGTTTGTTCCAGCAAACCAGAGTTGAGCCTTTCCTAAACAAACTATAGAAAACAGAAAGAAAATACATAAAACTCCAAAGCCATCACCGGCTAAAGTAGATATTGACGCCTGTAGAGTTGGTAAACACGAATAACGGCAAAGTAAAGTTCAGGTTCAACCGAATCAACACAATTAAGTCTGAATAGATTTAAATAATTAAGATGACTACGTGGGCTTCTTCTTTCTCAAATAAGAATTTTACTCGTCTTTTACCTCATCGATTTTTTTTTTTTATCTTCACTTTTATACACCTTGTCTCTCGTGCTCCTAATGTACATACAACAAGATTCCATTGTTATGTTAGAAGGAATGAAAATGTAAGTGGTTTCGTTGATGGCAATGGAGAAAGTTCTGACATTCGAGTATTATTTCTGTACGATGATGAAATGCCAGTATGTTTTGATATTTAACAAACAAATAAATTCATTTTAATACTGCAATTTCTTGAAAAAATGTTTCATGCTGTACATTTTAAGATGTTTTTTTTTTATCTTCACTTTTATATTTTCTCTCGTGAAAATACATACAACAAGATTCCATTGTTATGTTAGAAGTTGAAATGTCTGGTTTCGTTGATGGCAATGGAGATACAGGACCTTGTTTTTTCTGTGGGTGAAGGTTTTTAAATGAACAAAAACAAAAAAAAATAATGGCTGAAAAAATATCAGACATAAAGATGCGGGAGGGATTATAAATGAAGAGTTGAGTCTCGGTTTAGATACAGGATCTTGTGTTGGAAAAAACTAAAACATCCAAATATCTCACACAGCTGCAAAGAAATAAATGTCACTATCGCATATGCCAAGAAATGTTGGCGTTCATTTACTTACACGGATTCCTACATGGAGTCCTACATACAGGAGCCTATACACCATGTACATTATTATGTCACTCAAATATTAAAACGAGCCCATACACATACAAGCTCACAGTCTAAAATATGTACCTATAAAAATTTACTAAAAAAAAGCATATCGTGATCTAAAATGCCCAAAACATCATCAACATTTATAATAAAACTGTTTGTTTTTTAGGAAGAGCAAAGTATTTTTTTTTATTAATTTATAATTTTTTTAATTCTTTCTAGCGTGTTCGAAATTTCGAAATTTTCATTAAAAATCTTGTTTTCTTGCATCAACGTTTGGGCCAAAGATTCTTATAGGGAATTTAGCCTCTTTTTTGCGGTAAAAAATACATTGTCTCAGAAATTCTTACAAAAATCAAATTATTGCCGGATTTTAATTAAATTTTTAGGATTTGGTAATATTTTTTGCATCTGTTAACCCCACTGACATTATTTTATGAAATTTCGAGAAATTAAAATTTCGCTCTCTTCATATTTATATTTGTTAAAAGCAGTTAAAAGTATTCTTGGAGAATTTAAATCATCAATTTCTTTTTGTCAAATTTTTATTTGCTGTGAAAAAAAAAGAATAAAACCATTATTATTTATAAAGTTTTACAGAAAATAATATTTTTTTTTTTTAAATGAAAAACAATATTTTCAATGAATAATGAATTTTTAAAAGAACTGTTTTAATTATTTTAAAAAATTTAATTAGAATATTGTATTGAGTTTTAAATCCTTTAAAATTCTGTATTAATTTCAGCATTTTAAATTATATTATCATTATTAAATAAAACTTATATGTACTAACCATAAATGGAAAAGCTTAGTAAAAATCATCAAACAATATTTTAAAAATATTGAATTTTTTCGCCGATTATTTTAGACGTTATCAGAAAATAAGATTTATAATTATAGTAAATTTAAAGCAGCCATATCTAAAATTAAATAAGACATCAGATTACGAAGAATATTTTCATGAATTTTTAACTTTAACTGAGTACTTACAAATTATATAAAATGGTGCTTACGTTATTTTCTTCAGTTACGATTTACAGATAAAGTCCCCATAGAACAACATCAGATCTATCATCACGCTGTATGTTCATCAACATCTTAAAAAACAACTACTGTCTGGTTAAAAATGCATCACTGCGATGTTTGAAACTTAAAGTATTTATTTCCAATCAGATTATTTTACTTGAAATCAGGTAATGTTCCTCAAATAAAGTTTCACGTAAGTTTATTTTATTTTTCGAATGTTTTTAATAAAAAGAATTACATTACGATGAAAGACAAGTAAAAAAAAAAATAAACAAAGACTAAACGCAATTTAAGTATAATTTCAACTTATCAACAAAAAATATCGAAAAAATCGAACACTCAGATATCGAACAATGTATGTTTAAACAACGACAAAATTAACAAAAGATACATTAACAATTGTTTTCGTAGGCTTAAGCCAACCTTCCACTATATATATATATATATATATATATATATATATATATATATATATATATATATATATATATATATATTTAAGAAAAACTAGGTAAAAAGACCCAAGGAGGATAAAATCCAGAGAGCTCACCAGAGCAAATAATTTAAATAAAACAGACCACTTTAAGGTTCCATGTAATAAATTATTTAACCACGGATTTTTTTTTAAACACAAAGGTTTTTGAAAGTAATGTCTGATGATCCGCTGTGGTTAAATAATTTATTACATGGTACCTTAAAAAGGTCTGTTTTATTTATATATATATATATATATATATATATATATATATATATATATATATATATATAGTAATATTAGTGGTAAATTTTGTCGAAATTTCTTAATTACATTTCAGTAAATGCCCTTCAGTTTTAGTTTTCCCCGTCCCATCGCTCTCCCCACCCCTTTTTTCCTTTTCCTCTCCTCCCTCGTCTTCTGATCTTTAAGATTAGATCGTCTATGGTGTGTGTATGTCACCACGAAATGTATCCTTTAAGGTTACATCTTTAATGTATTTCCGCCAAATTATTTCTCTCTCACTTAAACCTTTTTCAACCCATCTCTAAAACTTCTCTCCGTTAAGGTTTAATCTCCCACCTTCTCTCTGTTAGTCTTTTAGCTCCATTCGTCCCATTCTCACCTTTCCCTAAATTTTTTTTATTTCCGGAAATTTGTAGGTCTGATATATCGTATTTACGATTCCAATAATAAATTATGACCATGGAATATATATTTAATATATATATATATATATATATATATATATAGTCGTTGAGAATTTTATCTCTAAACACAATCTTTGATCTAATAGTATTCTTGCATATATAAGTGTATATAATGGCTTATTATTTTAAACTATATCATGGCAGATACAGGAGACATTAGGCATTATATTAAAATCGAAAATATAAACTAGAAAAAATACATAAAATTGAGTATGGATTGATTAAAATATGTATGTGGAAATAAAATTGAAGTTACAAATAAAGAAAATTATATCAAAATCCGGAAAGGTAATAAAGTGACCTTTCATGCCATCTTTATTATTCTTATTAATCTATTTTTCTAATTATCTTCTTATTTTCCATGAAAATTATACCGCAAATATTCTAACGTCTCATAATAAAATGACAACTAATAAAACGTAAATAAATATTAATGAAGGAAAATTACCAAAATATATTATAACGTAGAATTCAAATTATGATAAACGGTCGTTTTCAGTCAACCAAACTGTAGTGTAAAAATAAATTGATTCTCGGGACTCACTTCTCAAGTGAAGGAAAATGATGCATAATCACTTGCCAGCAATAAAACGATGCTGAATGTATCTAGATACGTCGAAGGAAATATGGTAAATAAATAAAATGCAAAGCAGGACTAAAAAAAATAAGACAGACGAGAAACTTAGAATATATCTATGAGAAAAAAGTAGAAAACAACGAAAACAAAAATAGGGATAAGTAAAAATAAAGAAATAATTTTATTGACATTCTTGTATCTAATCGAACCTGGATGTGAGTAAGCAAATATACATAGAGAAAAAAAAAAGGTGAAAACATTGAATGGTAGTCATTTTGCTTGCTAAAAGCCCCGTTAGAATTGATGGCAGAATATACTTTATCGGAAAAGCGTGCCCTGGTGATATATTTAAGTTGATTACCGTGTTCAGAAAAAGAAACCTGCAGCTTAGAAAGAAAAAGAATGAAAACAATAGTTTAGAAATATAAACTTTTAACTTTTATTTCAGTCTGTACTTATATTTTCCGGCCTGCATATCGACGTATCATTCATGTGTAATTCCTATCTATCAAGGCCTATTCGTGCCTGTATGTCCGTCTCAGCCTATTCGTGCCTGTATGTCCGTCTCGGCCTTTCATACCTGTCTGTCCGTCTCGGACCATTCGTCTTCTCTGTCCCATACCTGTCTGATTCCATTCTTATCTGTCTCAGCCGATTCCTATACATATTCAGATCATATTTTACAATCTTAATGCAATATTACATTTAAAACTGGTGGAAAACGAAAGACACAAATCTACCCAAATTAAAGTGAATGCTTTGTATTATATTTAAATATTGTGAGTTGATAATTATTACTTTTCTCTCTCTCTCTCTCTCTCTCTCTATATATATATATATATATATATATATATATATTTTATATTTTCATAATGATATATATATACATACAAGGAACTATAATATATACAAATATTGAAATATAAGCAAAACAATAAAAAAATATATATATACCTTGTCGTTTGAATTTAATAAAACATATAAACAAAACCCATTGTATACTATATACATTTATTGAATTTAAATTCTATATTTTATATAAATATTTATATATTGTTGCGTTATTGTAATTGTATGCGAAAAACCATATTAATAATACAGTTTGACAGTTAAGAAAAACAGATCAGACATCAAGAGGTAATTCATACTGTCATTCTCCTTATTCTTAAAATGAAAGCCTTTACAGTTGTTCGCCCAACATTTCTAATTAATTTAATTTTATTTATTAAAATATTAATAGTATATAAATATTGTGAATATATTAAAATATATTTTTAGAATACATTGACAAAGCGAAGCATTGGTTCCGCAATTTCCTCGGATCTAAGTTTTTTCAACATGATTCGATATTTTATTTTGATGAAACAAACAGACTAAATTTATTTAATAATTCAATTTATATGCAATAGTTATTATGAATCTGAACAAGTTTAATTTAATTAATCTAAAGTTTATTTTCACCTACTTAATATTAGTAAATTCGTCGAAGTGCCTGGTTAGCAAATATATACAGTTTATTCAATTATGGCTCAACCGACAATTCATTAGGTGTTCTATAAGTCGTGAATATTATTCTGTTGTACTTACTGTTTAATATATGATATAACTTTAACACTTGTTTTGCTATTTTTTTAAACATTTACTTTGTCATAACAAATACAATAAGCCAAAGCATCTGAAATAATGGGTAACCTCAAGGACAGCAAGCACCACCAATATTAAGTATTTACTGAAATGTTCAAGGTGTATTGTATTACATATTCTCGAAGATAAAACTGTTACATCAGAGAATTAGTTATCACCTTCAACATTTAAACGCTTTGAATGAATTTAAAGACATACACTTTCAGAATTTGGAAACCAGAATGACAACAACTTTATGACAACACTTATTTATCATATATGATTTAATAAAAGCAATTAACATACCTCGAAAGGAAATGGAATCTTTGCAACGAAGTATAAATGACGCAGGAAAAATTACACTGAAATGAAAAGAAAAATGCTAATCCCTCTACAAAAATATAAATTCCCCTTAGTGAAAACATCGATATCATATTTGAATGCAAGAATATACAAATATTTAAACAAATATGGACGCACATGCACAATTTGAATCTGCAAGAACAAGAAGTGATTAGAAATAAAAACACATCTACTATAATCTTAGAAAATATACACATTTTATTCAAATATGACCGAGAAGGAGTTCAATCCTCATTCGATCTTCTATACTTACGGCCTTGTGACACACCTGTGAAAAAAATGGAAACAGTAAAAATATCAGGACTTGTCCGGCCATAATCAAATGTGATTACAAATGCATGCTTTGTAAACGTTTCCGAAAGATAACACATGATCGAATTTGAAATATTATAAATATGACTGCAAATTTGAAATTGCCAAAGAAGCCACATTTTAGCAAATCCGGTATATATATATATATATATATATTTATATATATTTATATATATATATTTTGTATGTGTGTGTGTGTGTGTGTATGTGGGTGTGTGTTTTCGAAAGCAACGATTTATTCCTAAATGAGCACTTAATGGATGTAACTGGGACGTATGCAAAAAGTAAGAAACATAAAATCATAAGAAATAGGCAATAATTTTACACAAAATCTTATTTTCAAAAAGGAAATACCTTATTGATGAAATGTGAAAAAAATAGCCAAAACAAACTATAAAACAAAACTTTCAATTTTAAAAATGCATACATTCTAAACAAGAAATAAAAAATTGATTAGGGCAGATTATTTATATATATTATATATATATTATATATAACGAATATATATATATATATATATATATATATATATAAAAAAATAATATAAAATCCGGTGTTCTTAAATATTTTTATTTTTAAAAATAGGGCTCAATGTAAATTTACCGAGCATTAGCATTATAAATTAAGATTTAAAAAAAAGCTTCAATTTAATTTTGTAATTAAATTAAAGATCTTTAGTTCCATTTCATCCTCAACATAATATTTTAGTTTTAGCTTACATTTTTGAAACATGGTTAGAACTGTCTCCCGCCGTCACATTTTTTAAATCCACCAATTTATTATATATATATATATATATATATATATAATTATATATATATACAAGATCGCGTGTTTTCCCAGTGTGTGTGACTGTGTGTGTGTGTGTGTGGTGTTTCTTCTATTCGTCAGACCAAATTATCTACCCTGCATGCAAATGAATTAAATATAATCATAAGAATGAGGATAATTTTAGTCTAAATATTTCATGTCCGATAAATAAATTTCATGGTCTAAAAAAATTTGAAAAATCTCAAGTATTAATTGGACATTCTTCTCAAGAAAAAACGTAATTGTTCATAAGGTTTTTTATAATGTAATAAAACAATATCTAAGACCAAGATAACGAGTATCAAACAATTAATAAAATGTAAAAGAATGAAAAACAGATGATAGGCATTTTTTAAAAATAACAATCAATGGAATTGAAGACAATGAAAAAAAGGCCATTGTTCATCGTATTGTTCTTTTATTTAAAATATAAGAGACCTATAAAACAATTGGACCAAGATAGACAGAATTAAAGAGAAGATAACCAAAAATGAAACCATTCTTCATTTTCTCACAAATGTTTCATGTTGCCTTGAAAAGTACTACATAAAAGATTTCTTGGTTGGTTTCCAATTAATTAAAACCAACTATTTTGAATTTTACAAGGTTTTTTCATGTAATTTAAAATTAAGTTTCTTTTCTATTTTTTTACCATAATTTTAAGAATTTTTTATTTATTTTAACCCTGTATTTTTTAGATAGCTTGTCACTTCATGATTTAAGTAACGCTACCTCTCCAAAGGTATTATATCTTTTTAGTAAAGATAACGTAGTAGTTTCCAGTTACATTCTCTGCCCGAATCGTTTTTGTATCCAGTGGCTAACATCCAGTAAGAGTCAACTTTTCCAAATAATCTTTCTACAGAAATCCCAGATATTGCTGTTATCTCTTTTTGAATCTAAGTGCCCATTTTCCCTCTTGTTGCTTTATTGCTTGCACGCTTCATTGTAGGTATGAGAAATTAAAGATATATAAATATCACGACCTTGATTGGGAAAGTAAAACTATTGCAAAATATTAAGATGAGAATTGCTTATGTAAAGATTTGATTCCAAAAAATAACATAGAAAAGAATATTTCCAACAACATTGGAAAAAATTGTAAGCAGCTGCGAAATGCAGATGATTCAATCTATAACCATGCAAACTGAAAATCCTATAAAGAATGTTGTAGATTTGACAATAAGCTATAAGTTGATCATCAGAACACCTTACCCTACATAATTTTAGTCTTAATAATCATACTAAACGAGATATATATTCATATATATATATATATATATATAAATATATATATAATATAACATATATATTCAAAGTTAGCTCATTTTATAATCTATTTAAATTTTTCCATTTTCATTAAAAAAGAACTGGAATCTGTTCCAGCTGTTTAAATTAGGAGAGAGGAACGAAACATTTACGGTTTGTCCGGGCAATACCCAAACCTCATTTTTCTATAAATATTTGGCAGAGCGTTCGGATGACCCATTTAACTCCACATCTAATATTTTGGCTACGGACTTTTCATTAAAAAAACTCATTGACAATAAATCAATGCAATAATGTCATAATGCTATTTTTCTGTGTCGCCTCCCATTGGGATGTGGACAATTAAGCCTCTTCACAAATTTCTGTGCTTTGCAGCTTTTAGCAAGTTTGATTTTTTTCTCGTTTTTTACTCTCCTTCCTATTTCCTGTTCCGTCATACATTTACACAAGTAATGTAGGTTACAGACTATTTTCCTCTGTTCCATTACCTACAATATATCTTGGTGTCAAATTCACGAAGCCTTTTCAATTCTTTCTAGTTCTATGTATAAGCGTCTTTTTTGTTTCCGTTAAACTTATAACTTCCTCATTGTTCATATAATCATTATATTGTATTCTCAGCATTCTTCAGCATAAATAAATCTGTTACCCCAAGTATACTGTTAATCTGTGAGAAAATTGCCCAGTATTCATTGCATATAGGTTGATTGATATTACAAAACATTTTAGCTCTCTACATTTTTTCTTGCAAAATTTTCTCCTTAATAGATTAACTTTTAGATAGTAATATTCTCTATTCAAAAGCGCATTCGAATTTTAGTGTCACATATTCCACCATCTATTAAAACAATATCAGATATTTAAATTTATGTACCTGATCTCCAATTACTAGGCTTCGTCGTGGGCTGTCCTTATTGCTGACCACTCTACATTGTCTTCTTACCATTTATAATTATTATTTTTTTTATTATTCCCGCTTTTCTTTACTCCTTTTGAGTTCCGAAGTTTTCGCCCTGTATCTGCTATCAACACGGTGTTTTCTATCTTATACTGTTAAGACTGTTCTCACCAATAATAAATTATGTGAATAGAAAAACATGATTTTCGTAAAAGGGACTCGTTGTAATAGTTGAATAAAACTAGGGAGAAGACGCATAGTGGTCTTATACCTCTTTCCCTTTTTACGCACTCCATTTTCTATTGATATGCAGTTGATTATCTCCCCGTATACTAGTCTTATATCCCCATTCGATGTCGTCTATGAATGATCCGCCCCGGTGTCAAGTAGTACCAACAATCAGGTCTACATGTAGCT